CGAAAGAATATTGAGAGAACTGTGTGATGAATCCAAACGGAATAATATTCATATTATAGGGGTACCAGAAGAAGAAAAAGAGAGAGAAAAAGGGATAGAAAGTGTCATTGAGCAGGTAATTGCTGAAAACCTCCCCAATCTGTGGAAGGAGATAGTATCTCAAGCCATGGAGGTGCATAGATAGCCCAACACAAGGAACCTAAGGAAGATAACATCAAGACATATAATAATTAAAATGGCAAACATCAAGGATAAAAACAGACTTTTAAAAGCAGCTGGGGAGAGAAAAAAGATCACATAAAAAGGAAAACCCATCAGGCTATCATTATACTTCTCAACAGAAACCTTACAGGCCAGAAGGGAGTGGCATGACATATTTAATGCAATGAAGCAGAAGGGCCTTGAACCAAGAATACTCTACCTGGCAAGGTTACCATTTAAATTTGAAGGAGGGATTAAACAATTTTCAGATAAGAAAATGTTGAGAGAATTTACCTCCTACAAACCACTTCTACAGTGCATTTTGGAGGGACTCCTATAGATGGAAGTATTCCTACGGCTAAATAAATGTCACCCAAGGGATGGACAAAGAGCACAGAGTATGATTCATAACATACAAAGAATGGAAGAGGAAGAAAAAGGAGAAAAAAAAAAGGAAGAACCTTTAGGCTGTGTTTGTAATAGTATATCAAGTGAGTTAAATTAGACTGTTACATAGTAAGGGAATTACCCTTGAACCTTTGGTAACTATGAATCTAAAGCCTGCAATGGCAATAAGTACATACCTGTCAATAACCACCCAAAATCTAAATGGTCTGAATGTACCAATAAAAAGACATAGAGTCACTGAATGGATTAAAAAAAGACCATCTATATGCGGCCTACAAGAAACTTACTTCAAACCCAAAGACATACACAGACTGAAAGTAAAGGGATGGGAAAAGATATTTCATGCAACTAACAGGTAGAAAAAAGCAGGAGTTGCAGTACTTGTATCAGACAAAATAGACTTCAAAACAAAGAAAGTCACCAGAGACAAAGAAGGACATTACATAATGATAAAGACTTCAGTCCAACAAGAGGATATAACTATTATAAATATCTATGCACGCAACACAGGATCACTTACATATGTGAAACAAATACTAACAGAATTAAAGGAGGAAACAGAATGTAATACATTCATTTTAGGAGACTTCAACACACCACTCACTCCAAAGGACAGATCAACCAGACAGAAAATAAGTAAAGAGACAGAGGCACTGAACAACAAATTAGAACAGATGAACCTAATGGACATCTACAGAACACTCCACCCAAAAGCAACAGGATACACATTCTTCTCAAGTACACATGGAACATTTTCAAGAATAGATCACATACTAGGCCACAAAAAGAGCCTCAGCAAATACAAAAAGATTGAAATTGTACCAACCAACTTCTCAGATCACAAAGGTATGAAACTAGAAATAAATAACACAAAGAAAACAAAAAAGCCCACAAACACAAGGAGGCTTAATAACATGCTCCTAAATAATCAATGGATCAATGACCAAATAAAAACAGAGATCAAGCAATATATGGAGACAAATGACAACAATAATTCAACAACACAAAATCTGTGGGATGCAGCGAAGGCCATGCTAAGAGGGAAATATATTGCAATACAGGCATACCTTAGGAAAGAACAATCCCAAATAAACAGTCTAAGCTCACAATTAATGAAACTAGAAAAGGAAGAACAAATGAGGCCCAAAGTCAGTAGAAGGAGGGACATAATAAAGATTAGAGCAGAAATAAATAAAATTGAGAAGAATAAAACAATAGAAAGAATCAATGAAAGCTGGAGATGGTTCTTTTGAGAAAATAAACAAAATACATAAACCCCTATCCATGCTAATAAAGAAAAAAAGAGAGTCTACACATATAAACAGAATCAGAAATGACAAAAGAAAAATCACCACAGACACCACAGAATACAAAGAATTATGAGAGAAAACTATGAAAAATTATATGGTAACAAACAGGATAATCATAACTGGAAAAGTAAAGAGATGGAAAAAGCAGGAGTTGCAGTACTTTTATCAGACAAAATAGACTTCAAAACAAAGAAAGTCACAAGTGACAAAGAAGGACATTACATAATGATAAAGGATTCAGTTCAACAAGAAGATATAACTATTATAAATTTCTATGCACCCAACTTTAGGTTTCTAGAAATGGACAACTTTCTAGAAAAATACAACATTGAAAAGCTGACCCAGGAAGAAACAGAAAATCTGAATAGACCAATTACCAGCAAGGAAATTGAATTGGTAATCAAAAAACTACCCAAGAACAAAAGTCCCAGTCCAGATGGCTTCACTGCTGAATTTTATCAAACATTTAGTGAAGGCCTAATACCCATCCTCCTTAAAGTTTTCCAAAAAGTAGAAGAAGAGGGAATACTCCCAAACTCATTCTACAAGGCCCACATCACTCTATTACCAAAACCAGGCAAAGACACCACAAAAAAGAAAACTACAGACCAATGTCCCTGATGAACATAGATGCAAAAGTACTCAACAAAATATTAGGAAATCAAATTCAAAAATTCATCAAAAAAAGCATCCATCATGATCAAGTGGGATTCATCCCAGAGATGCAAGGATGGTATAACATTTGAAAATCCATCAACATGATCCACTACATCAACAAAAGGACAAAAACCACATGATCATCTCCATAGATACTGAAAAAGCATTTGACAGAATTCAACATCCAGTCATGATAAAAACTCTCAAGAAAATGGGTATAGAGGGCAAGTTCCTCAACATAATAAAGGCTATATATGACAGACCCACAGCCAACATCATACTTAACAGTGAGAAGCTAAAAGCTTTTCCTTTAAGATCGGGAACAAGACAAGAATGCCCACTCTCCCCACTTTTATTCAACATAGTTCTGGAGGTCCTAGCCATGGCAATCACATAACACAAAGAAATAAAAGGCACCCAGATTGGCAAGGAAGAAGTTAAACTGTTCCTGTTTACACATGACATGATATTATACATAAAAAACCCTAAAGAATCCATTCCAAAACTACTAGATCTAATATATGAACTCAGCAAAGTTGCAGGATACAAAATTAATACACAGAAATCTGTAGCATTCCTATATACTACGGAAGAACTATCAGAAAGAGAAATTAGGAGAATAATTCCACTCACAATAGCATCAAAAACAATAAAATACCTAGGAATAAACCTAACCAAGGAAGTGAAAGACCCCAAATAGACAAAGCAATCCAGAGAAGGAAGAATAAAGCTGGGGGGAATTACGCTCCCTGACTTCAAACTCTACTATCAAGCCACAGCAATCAAGATAATTGAGTACTGGCATAAGAACAGACCCATAGACCAGTGGAGCAGACTAGAGAGTCCAGATATAAACCGAAGCATATGTGGTCAATTAATATATGATAAAGGAGCCATGGATACATAATGGGGAAATGACAGCCTCTTCAATAGTTGGTGTTGGCAAAAATGGACAGCTACATATAAGAGAATGAAACTGGATTATTGTCTAATCCCATATATAAAAGTAAACTCAAAATGGATCAAAGACCTGAATGTAAGTCATGAAGCCATAAAACTCTTAAAAATATATATAGGCAAAAATTTCTTGGACATAAACATGAGCAACTTCTTCATGAACATATCTCCCTGGGCAAGGGAAACAAAAGCAAAATGAAGAAGTGGGACTATATCAAGCTGAAAACCTTCTGTACAGCAAAGGATACCATCAGTAGAACAAAAAGACATCATACTGTATGGGAGAATATATTCATAAATGACAGATCCAATAAAGGCTTGACATCCAAAATATATAGAGCTCACACACCTCAACAAACAAAAAGCAAATGATCCAATAAAAAAATGGGCACAGTATCTGAGCAGACACTTTTCCAAAGAAGAAATTCAGATGGCCAACAGACACATGAAAAGATGTTCCACATTGCTAATCATCAGGGAAATGCAAATTAAAACCACAATGAGACATCACCTCACACTAGTTAGGATTGCCAACATCCAAAAGACCAACAACAACAAATGTTGGTGAGGATGTGGAGAAAGGGGAACCCTCCTACACTGCTGGTGGGAATGTAAACTAGTTCAACCATTGTGGAAAGCAGTACGGAGGAGGTTCCTCAAAATACTAAAAACAGAAATACCATTTGACCCAGGAATTCCACTCTTAGGAATTTACCCTAAGAATGCAGCAGCCCAGTTTCAAAAAGACATATGCACTCCTATGTTTATTGCAGCACTATTTACAATAGCCAAGAAATGGAAGCAACCTAAGTGTCCATCTGTAGATGAATGGATAAAGAAGAAGTGGTACATATATACAATGGAATATTATTCAGCCATAAGAAGAAAACAAATCCAAGTATTTGCAACAACATGGATGGAGCTAGAGGGTATTATGCTCAATGAAATAAGCCAGGCAGAGAAAGACAAGTATCAAATGATTTCACTCATCTGTGGAATATTACAACAAAGAAAAAACTGAAGGAACAAAACAGCAGCAGACACACAGAACCCAAGAATGGACTAACAGTTACCAAAGGGATTGGGGAGGGTGGGTGGAAAGGGTGGGATAAGGGGGAAAACGGGGCATTACAATTAGCACACATAATGTAAGGGGGTGGGGACATGGGGAAGGCAGTATATACAGAATATACACAGAGAAGACAAATAATGATTCTATAGCATCTTAGTACACTGATGGATAGTGACTGTATTAGGTTATATGGGGGGGACTTAATAATAGGGGGAATCTAGTAACCATAATGTTGTTCAAGTAATTGTACATTAACAATATAAAAAAAATGTGTTGAAAGCTTTATCATGAACAATACTATATATATATATATAAATAAAACACTTCACTTTGTATACCATTGAAACTAAGAAGAAAACCAGTTCTAACATCTAAATCCCCTCCATTTTACTTACCAATAGCTGTTTTTGGTCTTTCTTGGCATCCTTGTAAGAGGAGGGTCTAGACATCCAAGATGGTAATGGAGTTTACAGGTATCACACAATAAAAGAAGATGCTGATCATGATTCTTCTTACAAATTCCACAACTTTGAATAAAGGCAACAAATGAATGATTAGAATAATTATCATAGTGAAATAATTTATAAGATTTTTTAAACTCAAAAATTTCACCTTAACCATATATTTCTTTTGTTGAAATCAAATGTTTTTTCATAATGTCTTTTTATAATGTTGATAACTAATTATTAGTTTTAAACACTTCTGAGAAAGTGGAAAAATAGCTTGGATCTAGTATAAATATTTTAAATATTGCCAGAGTCAAACCCTTCAGAAGGGTATACATAAAATATTTATTCTCAAAGTCATAATTTTAATTATCACTTAAAACTCACTTAATATTAGCTCAATTTTTCTACAGAAGTATGCACTATTAAACAAAATAATTTCCCATAGTTCTACTTCTTTAAAAGTAAAAAAAGTTACTTTACAAACAAAATTCAGTTTATTTTTCACCATTAATTATAAACCTTTCAAAGACCCTTCAACATGTAAGTAAACTACATATAAATGTCTTTTGAAAATCAGATTTTGATTCCTAAAGGTATATCCACTGATAGCCCTTGCCAGGAATGGGGAGTTTTACTACTATTGTTACTTTTATTTTGGACTTTTTTGTTTTTAAGGAACATAACTTTTCTTGTACAAAAAGGCAACTTAACTACTCCTGGGAGCACAAGGACCAAGACCTGAAAATCTAGGGTGTATTTATAGAACTATCCATTTAGAAACAATAATTTTGAATTTTTAAAATAATCTTATGAAAAAAGAGCACGCACACACACACACACACACACACACCACCACCACCACCACCACACACCACCCGCCAACAACAGTACTTGGTCTCAGTATTGCTCAGAGTAAAAAAGAATAATCATTCAAAATATATTTCAAAACAAAATGAACAGTAGTGGTAAAAGCCAGAAGTATGATGATATGCCTATCGATTACTGATTCCAAATGAAACAATTTCATTTGGAAAAACTGGACTGCGAGTATGCCCATCTTCACACTACATGTTAAGACACTCGTGAACTTTCTTCACATTATAAGGAAGCTATCTGCAATTCCCCAATAAGGGAGCCTCCAGCCATGAATGGAAAGTAATGACAGATGCTGATATTGTTGCTATTGCTGCTATTTCTGAGAAAGGAAGAAGCTGTAGGGAGAACACGTATTTACCTAAGCATATATGTGTATGTAAGTTTATACATACACATATGTACTTATGTATACATGCACACACACACATCTTCAAAACTTTTCTCACTCAAACTAATCAGTTACATGAAAAAAGTTAAGATCATAACTTATTCAGGTATGGAAAGAAGTTCTGACTATGTAAGAACACTAAAATGGTAAACAATGTAAAATACTGAGTCAAAAAAGTAAAGAACAAAAATGCTTCTGGAAACAAAATTATTACAACCAAGCATAGAGAGAAAAATGTAGAAAGGTTCAAATCTAATACTTATCTTCATTATCCAGCACTGTACAAAAGCAGTAATTCAAACTGTATATATGATACCCATCACTACCTAAAGCACACATAAAATTCAAATTCATTCAAGTAAAATAAAATGTAAATGCCCATTTATCTAATATATTGTTTTAATCATTTAAGAAAATGCTCATCTACATTATTTAAAGTAACTTTTCAATTCCCCTAAAAAGGACTGTTCATTTCCCTGGAGCTTATGTATATATCTCCCCAGTCATTTAAATGCTACAAAAGTCTTTATTCTTATCATTAAAGGAGGAGGAAAAAATCTCTTCTGTCATTCAACCTGGAAAGTATCTTTGATAATTTACTAATAAAATGAACTTCAAAGGTATCTAACTTAAATTCTGGTATGGACATAATTCACTCTCAAATATTTGAAGCATCTTGTTACTAAAAACTATTAGTTCAAAAATGTACAATATTATTTTGTCATAATTCTGTCACTTGCCTGTAAAGCACTGCAGGAAGAACAGATGTCTTTTGTGTGCCACCTTCTTTTTTACTTGGTTTTCTCTCCTTGGGTGCTCGCAAAATTGCTGGTATGTTCAACTTCTATTGATTTGAACAAATGCAGTTTATTTTGTTTTAAAGAAGAAATATAAAGCAATGTTTTCCTCTATATGACACTCAAGTCAACTAAATATGCTAGGATTGTGAAGGGAGAATATTTTACCAGCTCTTACACCATCACAAAGTATTAAAATGAGTTTTGCCTTACAGTTACTTCCATTCGAAACCTATAATTAGATACTTGCATCGATTTTCAGGGGAACACTAAAACATTATGAAAATTAAACTTCTACTTTAGCTTTAAAAAGTGAAGGACAAGAACAAGCATTTAAGAACTCAAAAAAAAGAAAAACCACAGTACACTTGACAAAAAGAATATTGAGGCCGTTTATTTTCCTCAACATCCCAGCTACAGTGGTGCTCCATAGGTTAATTAGAAAAATTATCTTATTGGACCAAATTCTCCACAAAGTGAATAAGATTCTCTTTGGGTTTCTACTAATCTGTAGTATGCTGGCTTCTCAGACAGCAACCATCTATCAAAGTCATTTCTCAGCGGCCCGGTGGGCCAGCATCTGTTCAACCAACTGGAAAAAAGTGTCATACAAGCAGTACTAATGAATTCTACTTCTGCTGTTTAGTTTACATTTGCACAAGGAAATCTGTGAACTTCTGTTAAATTTCATTTAATAAATGAAAATGCCTTTTTATGGTATATAATATTTTACACTAAATAGGAGATTCTTACGAGACAAACTTGCAATCAAGGCAAAAGAAAATACTAGCTTGACAAATAAACTAGTAACAAGTCTGCCTCAACATTATAATATAAAATAAAAAACATCACAATATTCCACAAATCCATCAACAACCTATCAATAGGAACCAAGGTCAATTCTCCATAGGTGACTACTCATTTTCATCTTTTAAACTGTTATTCATTACAATATAAGCTACATAAATCCTGTGTACAAAAGAAGCCTCCAAAATTAGCATGCACAATACTATCAGAATCTATTACTTCCTAAAATACAATGTCTATACAAATTGTATGATGAATTTGACACTTTGTAAACCTCTGAAACAAGCACAATGACAAATATCTGTTCTTTGAAAAGCCTTCTTCACAAATAAGACAACTTTCATAGCTTAATGACCAAAGTGAGTCTCCATCATCCATAACAATATAACTGAAATTTGAATGAATTCTTAATTTATGAATTATACACCTAACACTAAAAAGAGCATTCAGAGAAATCTATTTGGCAATGATGATTCTTCTCAACACCAATTAGTTTAACAGGCTAAAATGTTCGACAATAAAGTAATCTTTTTCATAATTACAGTAATAGCTACCAAAGGGAAAAGACTATACTTTAACATTAAAGTTTCAAAAGCCATGTTTTACATAGCTCAAAATAATAAAGTAATCTTTTTCATAATTACAGTAATAGCTACCTAAAGGAAAAGACTACACTTTAACATTAAAGTTTCAAAAGCCATGTTTTACATAGCTCAAAACCAAAACAACATGAAAATGAATCCCTCCAATTTGCCTTTAAAAAAAGAAAGAAAAAATAGGAAAGAAAGGAAAAAAAGAACTAAATACAGCACAAGAAAAGGTAGAAAAAATGTTGTAAGGAATTTAAAACTGCTAAATTCAAGGAAAGAAGAATGGGGTACGAATAACTCATGTTTCACATCTTAGCTTCATTACAAATGATAGGTCAATCAGAGCAAATGAAAAAACTTTGCAAAGAAGATAGCTGTTAAAACAAACAAATTAAACTACAGGTTCTCAGTAGGCAGCTTCCAACACTCTAGGTGTATTTCAGGAAGAAATCATTATCCCAGAGGATAAGTTGGCCTAATCAAACAGAATTCTTCAGTTAGCAAAGTAACAGTTATATCAAAAAATCTTATCTTTGAAAATAACATAGCAAGTAAAAATACAAGGAGAGAGCAATTGGAAAGAAACTAACCTGCCCTGTGATTCTGCCTAGTAAGGCCCATATTCCTTGCCCTTCACTTCGAAGTTTTCCATTCAGATTTTGTAGTTCTTCTAAAGATTCACATAGCTATAATGTATATAATTCAAATTAGAATATCATTAAAATATATAGTAAAATACAGGAAAATTTAAATAATTCATTAATAAATGTCCAAGAATATCAATATTTGTATTTTAAATTTTTAATATATTCAAGACACAATACCACTGAGAGACAATGCTATCCAATTATTTAAGTAGCATCAACAAAATGAAAGCATTTTGTTCCTTGTTAGCATTTTTACTAATGATAATGATATCTACATACAGTTTTACTACAGTTTACTCCATAATTTCACAAACATCCTGTTAATTAATCCTTATGACTCTATCAAAGTGCATTTCCACCATTTTGCAATGAGAAAACTAATGATCACAGGGCTTTTGTAAGTTGGCCAAGATCATAGAACTAGCAAGAATCCCCAGGTCTTCCCAATCTAATCCCAGTACACTTTTCACTGCAGTTGGGTGATGCCTGGAAATTTACTTCCTACTAAAGTTTTATCACTTAAGATGTTATCTAACAATAAGTCAATACCAGTTTTATATGTTCATGTTACCTACTTTTAACATTTAGCCATATCTTGCTTATTAATGATATTCCTTTTTGATATCCCTCATCATTAAAGAGGTAGAATGGAAATTTAAATTGGGAGTTATTTTTTTAAAAAATCAAACATTACAAAACAATTTAAGATAAAAACAGTAATTCAAAAATAAGTTTCTAAGTTTTCTATGAACAGAAAGAGTCCTGCAGTACGATGGTTATGAATAAGGAATGGAATCAAACTGCTTGGCCTCAAACTCTGCCTCCATGAGCCTAGGCAAATTACTTCACCTCTTTAGGACTCAGTTTCCTCCTCTGAAAATGGAAGCAATAATCATAACCCACACTGTAAATATGAAGTAAGAACTAAATGAGTTAAAATTGCTCAGAATTGTGTCTGGCATATAGAAAGTGCTCAGTATTAGTGATGATGATGAAGATAATGAGGATTACAAATTACAGGAAGGGGCCTAAAAACTCAGAATTTCAAAATGGGACTCAAATAGAAATGCTATGAAATCACAAAAGAAATAATCAGTAGGATAGATATTATGTTGTTCTGTAGCCAACCTACCTTATTATATTCCACATGAAGCTTTTCTTGTTCATTCTCTAATTTATCCTTTATATTCTTTTGTTCAGCCATATTTTCCTGAATTTGAATCATGCGCATATTCCTCTCTATTTAAATTAAATATCCAGTTTTATTTTAGTAGGAAATAAAAGCTGATATACAAAATACACAAAGGAAAAGCGAGCTATAGATAAACCTACATAATTACACTTTTAACTCTATTTACAAATATACCACCTAGCATTTCACAACCCACAACTTAATTAGTAAAATAAATGTGCTTTAACTTGATATATGTAGCATAGCTGATAAATTTCTAAAAGTTTGATAGCATATCAAATATTTTCATTAGAAAATTATTCCCACTGAAAATATTCATGCATCAGTGTCTATACTGACCAAAGTAATAATTCACAAAATCAGCAGTCAGAGCAGGTTGCTTATGCTTTCTCCGTCCATCCACACTAGAACTGGTATCTGAATTGTCCACTGGGAAGATATCTGTACTGATCCCCATTAGTTCTGCTTTCCTCATCAGCTTACGAATGGCAGAAGCACTGCTAGTGAGTGGTCTGGGCAATTTTTCCCTGGGAACCCAGGCCTGGGGTCTGGTGGATCGAGCTAGTTCTGCTTTGGCACGATACTGCTGAAGTCGGGCATTGATCCTTGCCTATAAAAGAAATACATATAAATTTTAAAAGATATTACAATGTAACATACTCCTTATGCTTTTTACTTTCATGCTGAAAGATGTGAACTTGCTACATGAAGGCAAATTATATCTATTCAAAGTCCTTAAGGTATATTGCATAATTCCTGGGTTACAATAAACTAGGTCTACCCCTAGTAACAACTGTCCTAATCTATGATCAGTTGTTAGAAACTGATTTGATTAAGCTGAAGTTTCTCTTCTGAATACCTGCAACAGTCTCCTTAAAAACACTTAATTTACATAAAAGTACATTTTAAAACGTGGGCATATATTGATCATATCCTTTGCAAAAATGAACATTAGAACAGACTAAAAACAAGATGTGGTCAGTGAAATGCACTGATTGAAATATGTGGCTTAGAGGAAATTATTCTGTGTATTTGGAAAGATGCTTTATAAATGGTATCTTTGTTGACTAGATGAGGAATAATGTATTCAGCCATACAGTATACTCACCATTTACCTTAATGACAATCCACTTCCTAGGTAACTAACCAAATTTCATAATGATACTTCACGTATCACTGGCAAACATACATGAGATCTGAAATCCATAACCTTCAGAGAAAAAACATGAGTGTTGATATGAATCCCATACCTGTGCTTCTGGTGATAGCTGCTTCTCTCTCTCTTGTAAAGACATTTTACAATAGGATTGTAGAGCCAAGTAGTTTTTTCTCTTCCACTTTCTGTCTAACCTATCTGCATGTTGCTTACAATAAGCAAAAAATGGATCTGCTATATCCTACATCAAAAAAAAAAGAGGGGAAAAGTGAACATTTTTACTCCAAAAGGTCATAAAAAAGTTAATATAAGATATTATTTCCATTTTGAAGAATCTTCTACAGTACTGGTTACTCTAAAGTCAATTATGAAAGCAGTTTTTCCACATAATGATAAAGATTGCTGCTTTAGAAACTTAATCCTGTATATCAACTTTAAATTAACAACAATTATTTTTCTTTAAAGGACTGTGTGGATTTAAATATACTGAAATCAAATCTTACATATTATATTTAGTTATACCTATGTACCTAAAAAAAAATTACTATTTAAAACAAATAGGGTATTGTTAATCTTTGCGAGGAACCATCATTAAGTATTAAAGTTATGCACACACAGGTTAGTTAATATTACAAAACAACAATAAATCCAGAACACAGGAGATAAGCCGACTCAGAAAAGGGCGCATTTCTGTCTAGGAATGCATGGACAAATTCCATCCAGGACAAAATGGATTAAGAAGACCAAACTCTGTCAATAAAACTCTTTGCGTATCCCCTTTAACTGTTTATACAACACTAAAATCTCAAAAGGAAACAGCTCCCTCACAGCCATATTTCATGGTATTAGCCTAATGAGTACATTTTTTTTGCATAAAAAGGGTACCAAAAGAAAAAAAAAAGTATTCTATCAAAACTAGAAATAACTTATAAATCCACAAAGAAAGTACTACAATATGATTGCCAACGAAATGACAGGTAGTCCATTCTTTACGTATGTCTGAAGAAGGAGAAATAAAGGTGAGCTTCCCATGTTTTTTACCGAAGTTATGTTAAATGGATCTTTCAGTTAAGGTGAAGTTTTATTACCCAAAGAGAAATGATGCAATGATGAAATAAAAATGATGATACTAAAAAAGAAGAAATGAATGAGATAGAAAAGAAAAATAATAATTTTAAAAATCTAAGGTGTCCTTAACATAAAAAAAGCATATAATGCAATTCTTATGATATCCACAGATTAGTATAGAACTGTGGTTAAGATCACAGAATTTGGAAATATAAAAAAATCTTGGCTCTACCATTTCCTGGTTTTGTAGCTTCTAACAAATTGCTAAATGGGCCCCTGTTAACTCATTAATAAACTGGATTTAATAATAACTACTTCATATGACTATAAAAATGAAGGCAGAAGACTGCACTAACACATATGCACACACACACATACACACACAGCTGTTTTCTCATGACATGCTCTAAATCTTCGTGACAAAAGATGATAAATGGAAATAAAAATTTATTGAACCTCAGCCAAACGGCCAGATTTGGAGAATTATTCTATTGCTTTAAAGTAGGTGAGATTAAAATTGAGTTTTTAGATATAGGATTCATACTTGCAATGGTAAGCCATGCCAGTATTTGTCACGGTTGTACCTAGATTCTGCATATTTTGCATAAAACAGTGCCTAAAATATCATTCTCTGAGCATCACCTTTTATCTTTCCTGGTCATTCCCTTAAGACTCAAACTTTAAGTTTTCAGCACCATTCAGATCTCCAAGGCACTGACTTTGGACTGTCCTTCAGACATTATGTGCATGTCCTTCATGAACGTAATGACTGCCCTTTTTACCTGCTCATCCCTTGGTCCATCAGTTAACTATTCCTTTGCATGGAGCATTAACTCTCTTGCTCCTCTTCCTCATCTTGCTTCGCTTAACTAAACCTGAAGCACACAAGATAAAAAGTCTACCTTCACATTTCACCTGTACCTGGGCAGCTGAACACACTTCAAAGTTAATTTATTCTCTATTTTCATACACAATTATTGACTTTATTCTCACTCTTACATACAATATCTCTACCCTATTCCTGACTTGCAGATCTTGATCTTGTTTCATATCAGAGGGAAGAAAAAGAAACAAAACCTCCACATCCTCCAATAACCGCATGTATCACCTATCTGTATGCCTACCTGTACCCTCTGCCTAGTGTCCTGTTCCTAAGGACAAACTGCCTAATGTTCCTGTCTAAAGTTAACTCCTTCACCTGTGCATTCGCTCCCAACCCCTCTTCCCTCCAGCAATTCTATCTCTCCACTGCATTTTTTCTCTCTACTGTATTACTCCCTTCAGCAAACTTCAAGCGTGCAGCATACCAAACATACTATAATATCTTTTAAGGAGACTTTAAAGAACTTTCTTGGGCTCCCATATGCTGTTCCACTTCTAAGCTCCTCTTAATTGGAAAAATCTAAAGGTTTGCCTTGTTCATATTAACTATCTTCATTTCTGTTTCATCCCAAGTTTTCAGGACTACTACCAACCATTCCTAAAGCCCCTCTCAAGTAAAAATTACCTTCATTTTGCCAAATGCAATGGTCATTCCCCACCTTAATGCTACTCATTTGACACAATCACTCACACCCCCTCTGAAATACTTCTTGAAACACCCCTGGGATACTTACTCTTAGTTTTCTTTTACCTCACTGATCACTCCTCTGTCTCTTTGGTAGATTCCTCCTTACTTTCCCAACCCTGAATGCTGAAGTAGCACTATGAATGTCATTAGACCTCTTCTCAATTCCATTTACTCCTATACACTAGGTGATTTCATCTAGTCATCTCACCATAAGTACTATCCATACCTTGATAGTTCCCAAATTTGTCTTTAGCCTTGACTGCTTCTCTAAACTTCACACTCAGAGAGCCAACTATCTACTTGATGTCTCCACTTAATGTCTAATAGGCATCTTGAACTTAACATGTCCAAAACTGTACTTAATTTTCCTTTCTCCTGCAATAAATCTGCTCTTCCTGCAGTCTTCTCCATCCCAGTAAACTGCATTCTACTAGAAGCTCAGGCCAAAGAGAACTCATTTCTGATCCGTCTTTCTTCTATAGTCTACAACCAATTTATGACCAAATACCTACAAAATCTGTCATTCCTCATTACCTCCCCACTTAAATCTGTTACAGTAAGATTCCTAATTGGCCTTCCTACTTTTACCCTTGCCTCCCTATGGCCCGCACTTGATATAATAGTCATTGTAATAGGCCTTTTAAATATTAATTGGTTCACATGTACTCTGTAGCTTTACAACTCAGAGTAAAAATCCAAAGTCCTTCCCATGTTCTTCCAAGTCCCACATGATGTGGCTGGCCCCTTGCCACCTTATGTCCTCCTTCCTTTCCAACCCCAGTCCCTCTAACTCTGTACTAGCCATACCAGTCTCCTTGTTGGTCCTCAAACCAAGTATGTTCCTACCTCAGACTCTCTGCATATTGTTCCCCCTGCCTGAACTACTCTCTCAAATAAACATATTTTCCTATTACTTTCCTTAGATATCTTCATAAAATGTTTCTTAGCCCTTCTTGGCCTCCCCATATAAAATACCCAACCTCCCTAACTCTCCAAAGATTTTATTTTGCTTTATATTTCTTTGCAGCACTTACCACAATATATTTCTTTACTTACTTTCTCACTATGTCTTCTTCCCACCTGCCACTCAAATGTAAGCTAACTTAAGAGCACACAGGTTTGTTTCTTTTGTTCACTGCTATTTCTGCAGGGTTAATAAATAAGTTGGATAAATGATAGTAAAAAAAATTAATCTTCAATCCTTAAACAGCTAAAGAAGAGAGATCGATAAGGCAAGAAGGTCCACCTGAAGCTTCTGATACTTCCATGGAACCTTCTTCCTTCTGTATTTATATTACTTCTTGTCCATACTAGCACTTGTGATATCTTTTAGTGCCATCTTGTATAGTTGTTTAGCATTTCTTGGTATTTACTGTCTATTCCCACCTCGGTATTACTGTACCTTAACGCTGTTTTTGCTCCCTGACAGACTCCATCCCAACACCTGCCTAGTACCTTGCACATATACATAGGCCTTCAATCATAACTGATGGATTTCACTGAGCCCTATGAAGCTACTTTTAAATGTAAATACACTGCTTAGCAAAGTTTAGATTACCTCTTAACTCTTAACACAACTTAACTGGGTTTTAGTACATAAATTCAATAAGAACACATGTTCCACATGCTTGCTGAGTTACATTTCTGTCAGTTCTCAGCTGCAGGGCCTTGCAGACATTTTATGATTAAT